ATATATACTAAAATAAACTACTACTACTTGTACTACTATTCCTACTTCGCAGTTTTCACTTATCGCAGGGCTTCAGGGTACGGATCCCCAGCGATAAACGAGGGACTACTGTAAATAAATGCATGTGGCAGTTGGCAGCATTCAAAAATTTTGTGTATTTTTTTTTTTTATATATATATTTTAAGGACACATTACCCATCAATATAAGAAAAAAAAATAGGCAGATTTAAATTCTTACTTTAGGGGGGACAAAATTGTACTGGTCTTCATGACATTAAACTGACATAAGAAACAGTCCTCATGACATAAATCGGCTCATTTAAGTGTCAAAGCAACTAGATTTAAACCAGATCTCTGTATCACAAAGTTGACCTTTGAAAAACAATTCACTGAAAAGGTGAAACATCAGCTCAGTTTGCTCTGAGAGATGAAAATGTCATGCAGTTTGATAAAAGTTAACACACCTGACACTGTATACAATTTAGAGTTTTTGGTATTATTTCAACTATGTCTGTTTTATTTAAACTCCTAAAGTGACAACTGAATGATAGTTTACTTTCACTTTAAATGCAGTCTTTAAACCAGCTGTTGTCAACAATCTGTAGAAACAATACACACACGTAGGCTTCTTGATTGCAGTTAATGAAAATGCATTTTTATCTATGTGAATTTACACGTTAATCAGGAAAAAATGACATTACTCATTTTAATTTTACACACAAAAGTGGTTAGTTTTATTCCCATCGCCATTTATTTTTTCCCGTTAGTAATGACAAGATTTAGGGGAGTGGTGGCACAGAGGTTAGAGAGGTGGGCTTGTGATCCGAAGATCGCTGGTTCACGCCCCGGCCCCGACAACATCAAAATTGTGGGTGGGGTAGGTGAAATACCCACACTTGCCCCCACCCTCATTCGCCCCACTCTGGGCCCATGAGCAAGGCCCTTAACCCCCACCATGTGCTCCCTAAACAGGTCTCTCTTGAAAATGAGTTCTCGTGGCTCAATGAGACTAACCTGGATAAATAAAGGCTAAATGAAAAAATAAATAAATTTAAAAAAAAAAAATAAAAAAAAATAAAAAAAAAATAAAGTAATGACAAGATTTGTGAGTGTGTTAACTACATCATTTATTATTATTTATTATGTTGTCAACACTTTTAACACGTCGTGTCTAAAGTAATTTGATTAATTATCACTTCATACAGCAATAATTACAGATTTTACCATTTTATTTTTCATACCAGTTGCAAAAAAGTTAGATAACAATCAAGCAGTGAGGATGCACTGGGCCACTCCCAGTCTGTTAGACTGAAAGTCCTTTATAGTCTGCATGAAGAATGAGGCTTCGTGAGCTCATTATAAACTCCCAGATGTGTTGCCTCCATGCCAGCTGCTTACAGTGTTGTGTGTGTGGTTACCCAGTTGGTGCCACACCAAAGCAGAATTAATGGAGCATTCAGGCCCTGCTTGTTATTTTACCAGAAGGTCAAGGTCTTCATTAAAATGCTGCTGACCACTAAAAAGAGCAAGCCTGTAACCTGCAGTGAAATGCATCTATGAATATTTGTTTTTGGTGCATCTGAAGGATTTACAGGTTCAATTCAATTCCCTGAAAGCTTTCCCAGCTGCACTTCTAAATGCTCTATTTCCAATAAGCCCCATTTACATTTTTAACAATAATTAATTCAGATTTGGCTAAGCACAATGGATGAACTAATCAAATGATCCATATGTTTGACGGCTTCAGGAGCAATAATCAAGTCATCCAGTAAGTTGTGTTTTCTGCACAAAGGGCTAATGAGACCTTTTCAGATCTTTGACAAGGCCAAGAATAATATTTGCATATAAAGTGTATGGTGTCATTTAGCATTGTTCTGTTTGAAGTTGCTCATAAACTGTTTTGCCCTGACTGGCAGACACTTTTTCAATTTAAACAAAATTCAACAATAGGCGTAGGTACGAAAGCTGTGTAACAATAACGTGGTGGAGGTTTGTCATCATCCTTTATGCTCCCGTTACTCTTTAACCCACCAGGTGAGAGCAGCTCAAGGCACCACAGACATGTGAGCCACACATCCATAAACCTAATCAGACAGAGGATGAGGTCAAAGTTGGATTCATGGATTGATGTTTACAACCTTGTAAAAATGCATCAGTACTCATTAACCCGTGAGAAAAAACATTGCTCTCATTTGTGACAGTTCTGGTCACGTGACGCTGAGCTGCAGGGCTCAGGTGTTTAAAAGACGGCCGAGGGAAAGTGGGCAAGCAGACACACTGAGCAGGGCGACTGCTGAGAACAACAAGAAACAAACAGGCTGCAAAACAAACTGCTGTTAGCTGCCACCATGAAGGCCACAATCACCACCATGACACTCGTTGTCCTGGCTCTTGGCATGACTTCTGAAGCTGTGCAAGTTGAAGTAAGTTGTTCTCCTTTTTTGCATGATCTTGACATGAGCATGTGTCTCATCATTTGATCTGATGAGAGCACCGGACTGGATGGTATTCTCTGCCCATTAGGAGAGGGACCGTTATTGCAGAAATACTGATGCAAACAAAAGTCATGCATTAAGCACTTAAACTGCATGTTACTTAATATATTTACAAAAATGAGCCAAAATCTCTTCTTTGTTTCAGGAAAATGGATTGTCTTTCTCACTGGAGGCTGTTAAAAGACTGCAGGAGCTGGCTGAGAGCAGAGCAATGACCGGACAACAAAGCCCACGGCTCCGGGCGAGCACCATGTCCTTCTGTGCTGAGCCCATGCTGCCTCAGGAGCTGCTGCCCCTCTGTAAGCAGAGAGGAGGCTCTGCTTCCCTGATCAGACTAGGTGAGATTATTATAATTTCATGAATTCAAATAAGGGCTGGTTTGAAGGGTAGA